AAGGGGGCTGGTCGGCGGGGGATGGGGAGGCGAAAGCAGCTGAATAATTTATCTTCAGAAAAGGGGATAAACAGCTGGAGCGGTGGGCTGGGGGTTGGGGGTTGGGGAGTACTTCTGGAGATTTTACTTGCGTTGTAGCCAGCAAATTAAGAAGTATGTTGTCTTGCTCACAGAAGGACGAGAAAAACTAATTTATTGTAGGCATCAAATTCCACACTTTTTGTTTAGAGGCAGAGCTCGACTTAGTAGTAAATGCATAAATGAATCCAGTAACTTTGTCACATTGAGGGTATGAAAATTATTCAAAACCTAATTTTGCATAATTGTTCAACGACAATTAAACTTTAAAATTATTCCCATTTGTCAGGATAGATACAAATGGGACGAACAGGATTATTAATTGCGTATGTTCAGTCAGTCAACCGCTCGTCTAGCTTGCTTCTATGTCAATGTTCTCCAATGCAAGTAGCAGCCTTCATAATCATGCTCACCACCACTCCGTACACCTATCTGCAACCATTACAAAGAAGTAAAATGAATTGTGCTTGAAAACTTTAAAATAGAATTATATTAGCTGTCGATTTTGGCCATATCCGAGGTGCACAAGTCGTCATATCAACTCAAGCGCTGCCCGTTACTATACAGATCTCCACTATGCTTGCAAAATAATGTACCACGCACTACCATGCACCGCGTGATACGATAATCATGCCAATCTGAAATATTGACTATGCAGTACTGGATAGGCCATCCCAAAGGTTGCAGTGAGATGGCGTTGGCAAATTTCTGCTACCCCTGGTTCAAAGAGCCCCTAACGTGTCCAGAATTTCACCGCAGCTATAATTGATTTCATTTCAGTGCATATGCCTTTAGTAATGGTGTCTGCTGGTATTATTATTATCTGGTATTACTCTTGGGACTCATTTGTAATGTTTGATCAATGTGGTGACCGGATGTACATGTGCTGCACGCCTCTCCTAAAAAAGTCGCATACACGTTAACCATCGACACAGAAAGAGCCTATTCTATCGGACATGTGGCGTAGCGCTCGTCAAGGACATTGGCGGAGCCATCTACAATTCATCTGTGCAAAGATATAGAATTTGCAACACCCACGGGTCTGCAGACTTGGTGCTGTCTGTTTGTCCGCCGCTCTCGCAACATAAACACAATGCTGGGCAGCTAAACTGTTAGAGTTACCATATGTAGATGTCTTCTATTCGTTTCGGACAATAGGTATTGTTGTTTTGCTTCGACAGATAAGCATACCCTGTCTTTGCAAATATCCACAATATCAGCAGCAAGAAGAGCCTCAACAACGTGCATGCATACAACAAATCAGTTGTTTACCCGGACACCAGCGACAGGCGATATTTACTGACAAACCTTCCCACGGTCGACCTTCTATCTTAATACGAGCGAAGTTGGAGTTCAACTATCTTTGTTGGAAACAAGTTAAGTCGTACCTAAGTAAACCAGGAGGAGTTATGAAACTCCCA